GTCTGTGCCATCTGGCATCTGGAATTGGTTTTGCACGGTTCGACTCAAACTGAAGAGGCTTTGTGCTCATTTGGAGCTGTGCACGTGAGGAGGAAACAATGGACAGGAAAACACTGTTGGGAAAACTGAAGGGGAAATACACTTGAAATGGTTAGAAGATAATAGTTGCTGGAGTTAGTTAAAACTTTTTTTTCTTTGCAGACTACTTACATGTTTGCATGTATGTTTTTATATTTAACTCAATACAAATATTCGGCACAAAAAAGGACTTGGCCACATAACTGTCAGCATCATTCGTTTCAGAAGATTCCCGATAACAATATCAGGATGTTTTTAAGCCAAACCCCAACCAAACTCTAACCATGGATTAGTATGATCAGAAAAAGTCTGACTGCTTTGGAAGCACCAACAAATGATGTAGTCCTAGTCATCTGGGTACTTATATGTGGATATGTTTTCCCAGTCACATGTCACATGTCACATGCCAGCTTTAGGTTATGATAGTAGTTGCCACAAGGAGATTTCATTTGGTACCTGATATTGAATATCAATACACAGATAGTTTGAGAGAGATAGCTCTTACTTTGGAATGGAGTCTAACATTTTTTTTCTTATGGTTGTTTTTTTTTCTCTGCAAAAGTGATTGATTTGCTGTTGCTCCATCTGTTTCACACTGAGCAGGGAATGTCCTCTCCAGGTTTCTTCATTAGTACACGTTCATCCCTAAGTGAGTAGCTATGGATACTGTGCAGCGTGGAAACGCGGTGTGAAAGGTGTCTGAGGGTGTTATAATGACCAGTGGAGCCTCACAGAGCAGAGTCTGGTCTGAGGTCAGAGGTTGGGGTGGGGTCAGCCGGTGTTGCCACAGTTTGGGCTGCTCTTTCATTAAATGGATGAGCAGGGATGAGCTGTGCAGCAGCAGATGTGGCAAACCTCAGCACGGAGAATCGGCCGTGGGAAAAGAGATAGACGAAGCTCGGCTGCTTTCTGGGAATCCTCCTGAGAGAGGAAAACTGACGGACTGTGGGAATGTTTGAGGAATCCCCAGTGCATTGCTCTCATTTGTGTTTGTTTTTTTCTAGCAGCAACAACAACTAAAACTGTTTTTTGTTTCGTTTACTGAGATGTGCAGATAAGTAGGCGAATCCGAAAGTTTTAGGTCTAAACTTGTCTGCCCTCTTGACCTTTAACCATTAAGAGTTCAAGTTGAGTGTGGACTGGAGTGTGAGGTGTACCAGATGCACCATGTGGGGTATCAGAGGGCAATAAACCAACAAATCAATCATCACTGATGCTAAAATATATGAAAATGCACAATTATGCATAAATGGACCAAAGTTGTTAAATGTGTATATATATATTCGGCTTAATACTGTAAATGTATTTTGAGAGAGTATTGCCAAGGATTGCTACTGTAATCAGTGAAAGTAAAAGTAGCACAATAATACATCAATATATATTTTTTTAAAAGTCCTACACTAGCAAAAATACTGCAATCATAATTCAGGTTTAGGAGTCTAGAAGATCTAGATATTATCACATGTCAAAGGAAAAAGTACACATTTTGGAGAATGGACCCTTCCGCATTAACATGACTGCAGCATTTAATGTCGTTGCTTGTCCTAGTAGAGCCAAATACGTGTTTGACCAAAAGTAACTTTGGCCAAATTGACGAAAGAAAGTAACTTTTTATTTGAAATATTTCCTTTAAAAATAAGGGTAATATTCTGTGTGCTGGTACATACATATAAATGTTGACAGACACCGAACAAACAAGACATCATGTTCGGTATGTTGAATGTGTCCTGCTAACAGCAGCTGCATGTCAGTTCACACTTATGGATATCTGGTACAGCGTACATAATGCTGGAATTACAGAAATGTGTGTGAGGTAACATCCAGCCGTGGGAACCTCACGTTAAACCCTAAACACTCTACGGGTGATGGAGGAAGTATTCAAATCCCTTACTTAAATATAAGGACCAAAATCACAAGTTTAACATGCTCCATTACAAGTTAAGGGCTTGAGTTTTACATTTTCATCACAGAATATGTGTTCAGACAGTCAAGAACAAACATTATGCAAAAAAAGTGTAGTTAAATAATAATAGTAAAATGTCCCATTTCAATTATTTATATCATATGTTATAATTTAAGCAAAAGCATGAAAACTTAATTTCAATGTTGTATTCGGTCGAGCAGCTCATTTGAATGATGAATTTCTAATTTAATTAGGTTTTATATGTAAATCTGCAAAGTGACAGGTGACTACACGTCACACAGTTTTCACTACATATAGTGAAGTAAAAAGTACTGAAAGGTAGTAGGGTTCAAGAATGGAAATACTTAAAGGTGCCCTATTACAGTATGTCACGGTTCATATTTGTATTTTGGTCCTCTACATGTTTCCATGCTTTAATGTTCAAAAAGCTCTTTGTTTTTTTCATACTGCCTGTGCTGCAGCACCTCTTTTCACCCTCTGTCTGAAACCAGAGCCCAGTCTGCTCTGATTGGTTAGCTGGCCAGCGCTGTTGTAATTGGTCAACCACATAGAGATGTCCCGCCGCTTAATTATGTACAATGTGTTGGATAACTAGCCAAAAGTAGCACAAGTGTTACATAATAATATCTCTATGTCAATTAACTACAGGGGTCCCTCAGGGCTCTGTTCTTGGTCCCCTCCTCTTCTCCTTGTACACAAACTCGCTCGGATCTGTCATTAGTCCGCATGGTTTTTCATACCACTGCTACGCTGACGACACCCAATTCATTCTGTCCTTTCCCCGCTCAGAGACCAAGGTCGTCGCACACATCTCTGCTTGTCTAGCGAACATCTCTCAGTGATGTCTGCTCACCACCTCAAGCTCAACCTTGACAAGACTGAACTGCTTTTCCTTCCGGGAAAAGATTGTCAAACTCTTGACCTTACTATCAACATCGGCACCTCTGTTGTTTCCCCGACTCAGACTGCAAGGAATCTGGGTGTGACCCTAGATAACAAACTGTCCTTCACTGCAAACATCGCTGCTACAACCCGCTGCTGCATACACGCTTTACAACATCAGGAGGATACGTCCCCACTTGACCCAGAAAGCGATGCAGGTTCTGTTCCAGGCTCTCATCATCTCACGCCTAGACTACTGCAACTCCCTCCTGGCTGGTCTGCCTGCATGTGCCATCCGACCTCTGCAGCTCATCCAGAATGCAGCGGCTCGTCTGGTCTTCAACCTTCCTAAATTTTCCCACACCACGCCGCTCCTCCGCTCCCTTCACTGGCTTCCGGTAACTGCTAGAATCCACTTCAAGACAATGGTACTTGCATACCATGCTGCGAATGGATCTGGCCCTTCCTACATCCAGGACATGGTTAAACTGTATACCCCAGCATGTGCACTCCGCTCTGCATCGGCCAAACGGCTCGCTGCACCCGCACTGCGAGGGGGACCCAAGTTCCCATCAGCAAAAAGACGTGGGTTTGCTATCCTGGCTCCAAAATGGTGGAATGAGCTCCCCATTGAAATCAGAACAGCAGATAGCTTGCACATCTTCCGGCGCAGACTGAAAACTCATCTCTTTCGACTCCACTTTGAGCGATAGAATTACTAACAAAGCACTTATATACTAATAAAGGACTGGCTTATCTAAAGTTGAGTAGCACTTGAAATGTTTTAGCTCTATGAAACCTGATCTACTTATATGATTCTGTTTTCTTCAAGTTTGTATCTTGTTGGTCGAACGCACTTATTGTAAGTCGCTTCGGATAAAAGCGTCAGCTAAATGCAATGTAATGTTACGGAAGTAAACAAAGGGGTCCAATTCAGGCATTTCAGGCAGGTCGGGAATTTGTGTGGGAGAGAAACTCCCTCTGGAGGGACCTTTGGGATTCTAGCCCTTGCAGATCATTTACATGCAAAAACTACTTTTGTAACACTACAGGAATGGGAAAGTCAAAAACAAAAAAAAGGCCAAGAGTCCAAGAACAGAAATACTTAAGTTACTCAAAACTGTATTGCGATTAAGTACACTTCCTTTCAAACATGGTTAGGAAATGTAACTTTTGTAGGAGCTCTTACTTTTAGATTGTATGAGTAAAATTCCACTTTATATATGGGTGTGTATGATATGTGTTTGTTTTGCTGAAGCTTCATACAACGTTCAAACATTCTTCAAATTCGTTAATGAGTGATTTTGAATTCCACTTGAGATGATGTGTCTCGTCCAACATGATCAGATACAAAGCTGGAGTCCAAATTCCTCCATCCCAGAGTGGCTGAATGAAGGGAAGGAGCGGAAGAGGGGTGGGGGGGTGCAGAGAGCCTGCTGAACAAGGAGTTCTTTATAATGACTGACTCTTTACACGGTGACTCATCGTACTTCACAGGGCCGTCTGTGGCCTGAGGAGGCCTGCCCTCGTGTTTGCTGAATGACACACTGTGTTGTCAGAATGTCAGGATGTCATGTTGGGATGTTTGGAGTGCTCCCCCCCTACCACCACACCACACACACCCCTACTCTTATTGTACACTGTCAATCTCTGCTTTACTGTCATGACTATTATGAAGTTTGTACAAGGCATTCTTAAAGTTTAGGGTAAAGAAAAGTAGAGGTTTTGAGGAAAAGGTGTTATAAGAAAACCGTTGCAATTCTGATACAAAAAAGTCCTTCAACATGAATAGGTAAAGGCGACCCCAAAACCTATTTTATAATAATGTCCATTGTTTGCAATATTTTATATTTAAAAAAAACGGTTTTACTTGATGCCAGGGATAACTACTTGCTGCCAGGGCAAGAACATTTCCTCATCTCTGTCAAAAATAACAAGTCGGTTTCTACATCGCTATTATACATTGATGGTTTCATATTTGGAACAAGAGTCTGTCCCAACAAAGCAAGCCCAAGTGCCTGTTAGTGTACATGGAAGTTATTATAGTTCATATAACAAAGTCACATCCTGGGGTTTTAAAGTACGTGACATTATTTTTCTTGTGTCGTTTTATCAGACTCCCGGAGTTTCCTGGACAGTATAAGCCACGCCGGCGGCTCCGCAGAGGGAGAGCTGTTCAGATCAGAGGTGTCGGTCACTCCTGCTTCCCGTCAGAGGATATTTGGCTCCATGTGCTCCATGACATCAGACAGGTACTCACCCTGTTTCTGGAGTGTAACGGTACTGTGTGTTGCATTAGAATATGAAATAGTGGCCACAATAATGTAAAAATATCATTACAACTCATCCGATAATGAGAGGCTTTTATACTTCATGCTCATAAATGTTAATTTGTGTACATTTTGTATATCTTTAGAGTAGATTTATAATGTTGTCATCATGTAGGTATTGCCATAATTATAGATTTGTTGACATTTTGATACGTATTTATTTCCTCCCCTTTCTGTCCGGCAGCTCCACTCCTCCTGTGTGGCACGACCGGACTCCAAACTCCCTGAACTCCCCGTATCCCCCCCAGCCCTCACCCCCTCTCTCCCTCAGCACTCCCAATGCCCACAGCTCTCCCCGGGGGGCTCTGAGAGGCCTGGGTGGAGGTCCGGGGGTCCGCACAGAGACAGACAGCATGGACTTGTCCTCGTTGTTGGGGAACGGCAGTCTGGAACACAGCCTGATACAGGCCATGGAGGGCCTTGGGAGTCTGAACTTCGGGGAAGACGGGGGCCTCCCTCCGCTGCTGCCTGAGAAGAGGAGAGTGGGTGAGGGGGGAGAGCTTGGCTCCTGCTCCCCCTCTCTGAGCGGGTTTTCCAGCCCTCATAGTGGCAGCAGTCTCAGCATCCCTTTCTCATCTTCAATGACCCCCGACCCCCTCCGAGGACTCAGTGGGGCGCCGTCCCCAGGAGCAGGTACACTGTCTCAGATGGTTGTCCTAATGTCTCTTTCCTTGATGTTCATTTGATTATTTATGAGTGAAAACATCAAGCATTGACCAATTTCAGTTAATTCTTCAATTTCCCTTATTATTCAACCTTTATGGCTTGTTTTTAATTATTTTCAATATTCTTTATATTTATTTTTTAATACTATAAATGTTTTTAAATGTTTTAGTGCATCGATATAAAAAATGGGTAGGCACTAAACTTGTGTTGACATCCCAATACAATGGAAATAGGTGAAATTGACCGTAAACATTAATAATTGAAATTAAAAATATAGTTTTAATATTTTGGAAAACAACATTTGGTATTTTGTGAATAACCGAATTCTCTACTGCTTCCAGCTAAGTATATGGGTTATTATAAGTAACAGGGGTATTCCTAATGGAGCTACAAGTTGGATTTTAAAACAGATTTAGTGCTTTTAGTACCACTAACAAAACAGGTTAAAAATAATGATGGTAGAGGGACAATACGTCTTTTGGTGATATGTACTAACTTCTTAACCAGGCACTTTGTTAGTTTTAGTCTTGTGTGGCTTTGTTGTACTTGGGCCAAAGCCAGTCTGAAACATAAGTCTGTATCTGATTCTTGCAGACTTTGGCAGTAAGCAGGACACTGTGAAGTTTGTTCAGGACACTTCCAAGTTCTGGTACAAGCCCGGTATCTCCAGAGACCAAGGTAAATATTGGTGTTGGACGGACGCTGTAAAGCAGATAAAACGGCCCTTGTGCAAAGCTCCTTGTCCAATATGAACATGATGTTTCTAACTTTAGCTCATTTGTGTTTCCTCCCCCGGTTGACCTACTAAACAGCCATCGCCGTGCTGAAGGACAAAGAGCCGGGCTCGTTCATTGTCAGAGACAGCCATTCGTTTCGCGGGGCATACGGATTGGCCATGAAGGTGGCCACGCCTCCTCCGTCTGTCTTACAACAGAGTAAGAAAGGTGGGCTAAAAAAGTCACAACCAAACTTTTCTCTGGATCCCTGCAGCCACGAAACTGCCTTCTACTAGGAACAATTATGTACTGCTTGAATGGAAATCTCTATGCACAATAACGAGATTTCTATCCATATATATATATATTTTGTGAAATAAAAAAAATCTCAAAAGTTCTAGCAAGGAGTTTAGCACCTATTAGTACATATTAGCATAAAGCACCTTCCATTTCATTTAGGTTACATGTTAAAGTGACTATTTTCAGTGATATTATTATATGTTAAACAATGTGATTTTATTTTCTCTAAAATAGATTTTCTGAGCCACATATATAAGGTTGATTTAAAAGGAATTATATGCTTCTTTCTTTTTTCACAGACATGATTTGTCAAGTTTATATTTCCATAGCGCTCCATCTATCAGTCTGTGACATATGAATGCAAATAAACCAAATCAAAGTACAATATACTGATATGTGCTCTGCGTCTCTAAAGCAGGGGACCTGTCTACTGAGCTGGTGAGACACTTCCTGATAGAGTGCACGCAGAAAGGAGTTCGTCTCAAGGGCTGTCCCAACGAGCCGTACTTCGGTGAGCTGATTTCTCACTTTTGGTGCTGCTTTCTTTTTCATATTGACAGTAACATAGCAATACATTTGTATTTGTTACACATTTTAAAAGATGCCTGTTGATAAAATAAGTAATGGTCTCTTTTTGGCTTAACAAATGAATCGAAGGACAAATTAGTAATAGCAACTTTTATGACATAGTCTTGGTTTCATGATTATGAAATATGAAAGTAATTTAATCCAAACAGTTTCATTGTGGCAAAGTAAAGTTAACAAGTACAATTGTTGTTGTGTTAATACTGTATGTATTGCATATGTATGTGTACTACTGTATATTTGGAATTCATGTATATAGATTACAGTAATAAAGAAGGGCCTATGTAATGTTGAAGCTGCTCCAGGAGTCACAAATGCTTACTGTTAGTTTTCTCTGCTGCATTGGATAACAGTTAATCATGTTCATGTTCAAAGTTAGCTGTAACTACCGCGGTCATATAAAGAAGAGTAAGCATAACAATATTTTCTACAATTTTTTGTAGGAAAAGCAGAAATGGCATCAAAAAGCAATGGTTACAATAAGGTATCAGAGCTTTCCACCAACCAACGCCCAGGATTGTTGTACTCATGGCACACTCAATACAATCAGTACAATCAATCAAATCATGGCTGACTTTGTGATGTCAGCACAGTGTGTCATTCCCCTGATCAGTTTGCTTCCTGCTTCTGTTAATTATTTACCAGGCTGGACCTACTGGGGTTATTATAGTAAAATAGTACTATAGAGTTATTATGTGTTTCCTGTGCCACCCTCTATTGGTCAAAAAGAATAGGTGCAGCTGGCTCCTTCATTCATCAGTCTGGATTTGGTGCTGTTTGTAAAATTGTTGTGAATGTATGTATTATTTTTCTTCACAGGAAGTCTCACAGCTCTGGTGTGTCAGCACTCCATCACACCGCTGGCTCTGCCTTGCAAACTCATCCTGCCTGACAGAGGTAGTGTGTGTGTGTGTGTGTGTGTGTGTGTGTGTGTGTGTGTGTGTGTGTGTGTGTGTGTGTGTGTGTGTGTGTGTGTTGGCTCTCATGGTATTGCATCACTAATTAAATGCGATGACTCACTTTTGCTGATTCAGGGTGCGTTCAGCTGCGCAGTCGAGTTTGGGGACGCATCTTATAGGTTGTCTTCCCACGGCTGCTTCAATAAAACATAAATGTTTATCAACAAAAGCCTACTTTGTGTTATGTGAAAGGTGTTGCTTGTGGTGACGGATAGGAAGATCGAGAGCATTTTACAGTCTTTCAGCTCAGTGTTTTGGTATTAAAATTCAAAGCAGTCTACAGCTGTTAGAAAAAGTAATGTTAATTTCAAGTAGTAAAGTCAATGGGTATATTAATCTATTAACACCAAACCTACTGTAGTCCTGCAGCACTCACTTTCAGTTGCTTTCCATTAAAGTGTGTTCCTAGTTACTACAAATGCAATTACATATTATAACCGATAACATAAATGACGGAAAATGCTATGAAAAAGAGATCAGAGTCGCAAGATAGTTTAGTTTTTCTTCAAGATTAGACAAGTAGCATGTTAGTGAGCCGTTTAGGTATTGTGTAGTTTGTCAATTGGTTTTGTGCTTCTCTTTGTGCCGTTTCCTGCCTCTCTCCACATTGTTTTACTAGTTGCGACGTACCTCTGGTTCATGTTTCAGGTATGTTGTTTATTATCTTCAGTTTCTGCATCATTCTTTACCCTTTTCTCTTTTACTTCCTGTCTTTTATTTGGATTTGTTTGTGCACGGAAACAGAATGTGGGAACAAAGTAGTACGTTGATGTTTGCCTGTGCTGTTCGGCCTTCTGTGTTAAACTTTATTTTCCTTTTTTGCCCTATCAGTATTCTCATTCAGTTTTTGCTACAGCATAAATTGTTTGCATGCAATGACCCATATTCCGTTCCGTCTGCTGTCAATGAAAGAATGCTGAGCCTAAAAAAAGGGGGCCGGGAAAGTCGGGAACAAAAAATCATTGAACTGATATATTAAAGAAACTGAGTAAACAAATTAACTCTGAGTGGAGTGAGAAAGAAAATGAGAGTGCAGACAGAAATAGAACTGGGCTGTGTGAGATGGCTACACAATGGGCACCAGAGCCTCCAGTATCTGTGCTCACTGCCCCACATCTCTCCTGTCACACCCCTCAAATTCAACCAGGGGTTGCCCTGGGTAACGCGGAGAGGGAAATGAAGGGACTAAATGCATCTGATTGCCCCCAGAGGCCTCCATTGTCTGACCGTCTCCCTCTCAAATCATTATAACGTGAGTGTGTGTCATGTGTAGGAATTATGTCCGTTGACCAATAGAGCACAGAAGGCAAGAGAAAAAAGCATATGGGTAGTCTGATGCTTGCATTAGGGCTGGGGTTGAAAAATGTCAGTTCTAGGTCAGATACGATACTTACCGATTCTTAAACTATCCTTACATGTACAAAAATCAACAAATGCGTATGCATCTATTTTTGATTCAACAAGAGAAGCCAAAGTTGAAGCCAAAATTCTATCCAATCACAAGCAGCCTACAAGAAAATTGCCTAAATAAATAAAGTCTTTAAGTGCCTGAATTTGGATTTAATATCCAAATCATCAAGAACATGTAGACGATGGATATTTCCTTAGCATTTGATGCTAGCTTTCCGTACTTGAAAGTTTGTAATATTTTGCCCATATGCTTTATAGTATATAAGGACTTTATATAACATTTCCCTAGGCACAGGTTCTCTTTCTTATCTTTAAGATGACTTTATGTCAATTTCGGTTGCAGAAATTGAAGCTCAGTTTAGATGCTTTCTTAAGTTCAGTGCTTTTGAGCTGAACCACAGTCTGCACCAAAGAAATGTACAAAGATCACCTGGAAACATCTGTTGCAATCATCTTTCGGATGAACTACTTTGATGGGTGTGTGTGTTGAATTAGGATGAACAGGAAAATTCAAGGTACAGTCGGAACTGATACTCACGCTCATTAGGTTTCTCCTTGTTTAACCATGAAAGAAAATCCAATGAAAGCTTAGAACAGTTAATTGTTTAGATTTCCCCTTTAGATCCTAAAAGTCGATGGGTTACCAAAATAATAAAGGGATTGTGAGTCCGCATGACTCGGAATGTAAAGAGGCAGTGTAAACCATGGCCTATATCCCACATTTAGCATAACTACATTTAGGTTGACTAGATTTACTATTACTAGATTATGAGGATCATTTAGAAACCCCCTCAGACTCTAAATCAAGTCTTCTGAAGTAAAAATAGCTCCTCTGGGCTTCACTCAGTCTATTTTCCCAGCTAACTTAATAATCCTGCCTTGTGAGACGGGCCTCCAGCGTGATTCAGATCAAAGAAAACAAACTACAGGCGTGAGTGTGCCCTTATTCTGCTGTCAGCTGCTCTGGAGCGTTGAGCTTGCTGAGGTTCACCATGATAATTACCAGATGTGTTACTGGAACGGCTAATTTGTCTCACAAAGTGTTATACAAGACTACTGGATTAAAGCTCATCTCGCTCTGACCTCTGCAGAGCATCCACCTTGTAGTTTTTATGTGGAACAGCTAATTGTGTCAGACAGCACTGATGAAATCTCGCAGTCGTCTTATTTTTCTCATTACTGAACAGGGGCGCGTATTCAGGCCGAGCCCAGCCGGTGTCAGCTGTCAGCAGCTCTGTCTCCACGCTGTCGGCCCGCCCTCCTCCTCCAGACTCCTTGGCTGTGTGTTCTATGATGTCATGCTGCAGCGGGGGTGTGTTCGGGGGTGTGTTTAGGGGTGTGTTGGGGGTGTTGGTGGTTGAAGGCGTGGGGGCAGGATAACAATGATGGCTGAACCCTTGACCTCCTGGTCGTGACCTTCTAGCATGGAGTCACCAGCCGGGTGAAACCTCTTTGCGGCAGCGGGGGCCAACCCTTCACGTGGCGGCTATCCCACTGTTAGCATTAGCTTTACTTAAGGGGTCGGGGTCTCTAACACGAGGCCAGCGGGTCAAGGGAAGACCCAGAGACCCATCAAATTCTTCTTTCTGAGAGCTCAAATACCTGCACACAAAGCCCGATCAACTGCATTTCTGCACACAACAACAAAATAGAAGAACGGAAAAAAACATAACCAAGTAACCCGACACCGATCACACACTTTAGCTCATTCAAACATAAATACAAGAATGCATGCATGCACGCAAAATCCCATCGAGGTAGTGTTACCTCTAACATAAATATATAGACCCATAGAAAGCAACACACCCTCATGGGGACACATTCCTGTATCCTGAGCCCTGCCGCTGATAAGCGTCTTGTGTGACCGGGACACATGGGCCGAGTTTGGGCTAATTCAGCACCTGGGAACCCCTCCGCTCTTTTCCTCCACCCAATTCCCTCTTTGGGAACAAACCCAGCCTTGTGCAACTCCCAACAATGTCAGTGACACTCTACACTGCCCCATTGCCACTAATTGTTAGTTCACAATGCTTCCTGGTATTGTGTTCAACAATGCCCACTCTGAATAGAGAGTCTAACCTACTTGTATTGTCGCTAATTGGTTTCTTAAGAGGAGTAGAAAATAGGGAGAGAAAGGGAGAGAGGAGATGTTGGTAATGGACTGCAGTTTCATTGGAGTCGCCAGTAAATAGAGTTCACAAAGGGCTTTGTGGGGTCGAGGGCCGAGGGTCGGAGGTGAAAAAGAAGAGGTGCACCTGCACTCTCCACAAGCTGACAATGAGCTTATTCAGCTGCTCTGCCCAGCAGCACGATGGAGAAAGGAGGCAGTGGCTGTGACCAGAGACACGACCAGACACACATATGGTTAAACAGAGGCAGAAATAAAGTAGAGACAGATGGAGGGAGGCGATGGCCAAGATTGTTTCTTTATATCGTAAAGATTGCATTGTTCTGTGCAATAAATGTGTTGGTTCCTTTGTTAAGCCAACAATCACACTAAACTAAAGATAGACTGTAAAGAATGGAGAAGTGTAATAAACAGTTAAACAAATAAAGGAAAAGGACTAATGCAAAATGGGAAGAAGACAGAGGAAACGTTAAGAGAAGATAAGAAAAATTGAAAACAATGTTTAGAAAAGAGGAAATGAATGAGAGAAGAGCAGAAGTAAGGCAGAGAAAAAGGGACCAAAAGAAAGGGAGAAAAGAGAACTGTAAGAAAAGGGGAATGGAGAATAGGAGAGTGAGAGAGGATTGAAGTGGAAAGAAGAGAGACCTTAAAAAAGGAAGAGAAGTTAAGAAAAGTCTAGGGAGACTAGGTAAATGTGTGAAAAGAACAGATATAAAGAGAGAAAACTGAAAGACCCACTTACACACAGGTGTGTGTTGGAGTGTGAGAAAATGAGTTAAACGTTAACTTTGGTCCCTTCATGCGCTCATTGGTCAGGACTTAATCCTGTATGTCAATAGGACTTTAAATGTCAAATCCAGTGGCGAGCCGTCAGGGCCCTCTGAGGGTCTAAGATATTCTACAAAATAATATTTAAGAACATTACAAAAATACATATTTTCTTTAATATATTTAAAATATATATTTGTTTAGTTATATTTTTCATTACTTTTTCCAAAACAACTTGATTTAATTGTATTTAAAATAACATTTCCAAAGAAATAAATCCTTAAAATCTGCCTATTCAGTTTCTGTTTTAATGTGAAGGGTTAAATGAAAGAAGCTCGTTACTGTGAAGACAGGAGCTGATTGGTGGTCCAGCTATGAATTCACAGAGGGCCCGCTATAGTAACTGAACGAGAGAGTAATGTCAAATGACAGTACAATTGACCAATCATATCTTCCCTCTAAATGGGTGGGTTTTATTATCGTAGACTTTATGACAAGTTCCGCCCGCTGTGAAGCTTTTCTTGTTTCCACAGCAACAACAACTTCCTGTCAACACGGTAAACCTCCTTCAAAATAAAAGCATGTCCATACAAAATAGGAAGCCAAGCCAAATTACACTTAAGACATAACTG